TGTATTCCCCCCCTCTGGTTTTACGCCTCCCCCCTCCTGGAAATTAATGCACAGTCCCTAACCATGGTGAGGTATTCGAGTGAAAAATAATCTCATGTTGAAAGCTGCTTATTTGACTGCTTCAAAATCAAAGATGGCGCATTTTTATGTCGAATAAAATCGCGCAAGTTCTCCGATGCGCATGGGCCTTAAACATAGCTTTGTCATTTGGTTTACCTTTGAAAGTACGCTTGGGTCCGGATATCGCCACACTCCCAGGAGACCGTCATACTCAACTTTTACCGATCCATCTTCTGCGGAGACCTTGATGATTTTTCCAATTTCACCAATAACCTATTTGAAAGAATAACGAAATATTGTTCAGTGTTGAACGGCTAGCATGATAACAAGGCTCCTCTTGTTGACTTTGTCTTTGTTGATTGATTGATTGAGTTATTTACCAGTTATAGACTYCCCCTCACAAACGAGGATTATTGTCTTGGCGGTTCGGATTTAAACAGGTTATTCTTTGAAAACAGTCACTGAGCAAGGMATATTAAACACAGAGGCAGGCAGATTATTCCATTGAATTATTTTTCTTGRAAAAAGGGAGAGATATTCAGATGCAGGAGCCCATTACTATGTCAGATGCTCGTGAGGCCGGTACTCAGATTTTTCATTTTTCTCTGTTTATTCTTACTGTACTATACCTTTTGTGCATCATCCGTGTTGGAAGTAAATGCTTCAGTAACACTTTTTAATCGGTGAATGCATACGCGATCTCCAACATACAATAGATTTTCGTCCATTGTCACAAGAGGAAGATGATCCCTGTAGTACAYTGGACCATTGGAGCTCTCTGTTGCCTTAAGCTCTACCTTAATGACAACATTTTTTTCACTTTAATTCTTTGTAGCCTTAACAATTTGTGCAAACCTGAATGGTATAATACTAACTTGCCCATTTATTCCTAAATTGTGAATAGAAACGTTAGTTGTTTCTTCCCAGCACACAGCACATTTGCCAGGGCTTGCATTGGATGATACCTCGTCGCTCTCAATTACAATACCGATACCCAGTTGAGCGTTATCGTCGATTGGTATAACACAGGCGCCAGGATAAATTCCTTTCGCTTGATACTTTTCACAATGAGAACGTTTGCCAAGTTTAAGTCTACAATAAGATTAAGGTACATTTAGATGCTTATTTTCTATTCGATTTTCCTAGTCATTCGCACGCTGTGATTGGCTACCACGCGGTCTGGTATATCACGATTTGCCCGGTCCACGGAATCCTGCCGCTAGGTTGCCAGGTTGCTAGGTGGGGGGAGGGGGACTATATCTTTGGAACCTATAAGCCTATGACCTTGAGAGGTTAGGTTCATATTTTTCGGCTATATTAGTATTTTATGGTAAACTTTAAACTTTGATGAGTAAAAAATTTAAAACAAGCAATTTTGGCAAAAATTTCTTTTGTCTTAGGATCAGCCATCTTGGAACGCCATCTTGGATTTTTTTTAAGTCGCATAAAAAACTAAGCATTGAGTCAAATAGCTCAAAATGTTTGAAATACTTCTCRAACTAACATATAATGAATTAAAAAGTGAGTTTCGAAGTGTGACTGTTGATTTTAAGGAAAGTTTCTSTCATTTGATAAAATGTCTAAAAACTACCCACGTCTACCCCTTAGTTTTTGCTGTCAAAAAACTATTATGGTATTGTAGAATCAGCAGCGGGAGCAAGCGCAAATCGGTAAAAAATGCATAATAAAACAAGAAATAAGCTTTAAAATTAAAAAATAAGCACATTTTACATTTTTGAAAACCGATGTGTCAAAACATGGTTGCCATGGAAACATGGATGATGATATCAACATAAAATGTACTTCAAAATCTGTTTAGATAAATTTTGAGAAAAAGTCCGATAGATTCAGAACTGTAGCTGTCTTGTTTCGAAAGCTATTGGCATTTTACTCGAGGTGGGTAGGGGGAGGGGGGGGGTCAAAAGCCGCCACCCTTCTCCCTTAATTCCCCCCAGTCTGAATAGGGTTAAGGCTACTAATTTGGATTCCAGATTCCTCTTGTTTTATCGTTCCGTCGATTTCCGCTGATTTCGGATTCCGGTTTTAACTGTGTACTATGGATTCCAGATTCCGGTCATTAAATGAAATAGTTGTAAAGGCTTTACAACTACAATAGCTATACATACCCCTTGTGGTTCATATATAATTTGCACACGAAGTTATGATCAAGATTATGCTTATCTTCCATGTAGCATGCCGTGCACAAATCAAAGTTCGAACAGTTATTGCAGTGCCAGCATTGACCCAAGATAGGGCTCGTACCACACCCATCGCATGTAAAGTTTGTAAACTTCACACCTAAAAATGACGACAGATATTAATAAATTGTATATGATTGTTCTCACGGATGTGAAACATGAAACATCACTTTCTGCGTGATGTTTCGATGGCTCTGCACCAAGCCGTCAATCAGGAGAGCGAGACTTGAGGGCATGACGTCGTGAATCCTTTATGCTGCAGTCTGAGTACAAACACTTGATTGCCTAKTTCAAAAAAAGTTTCATTTCGTTTATATGTTCTTCTATATTTCTTTACTATTATAAGAACTCAGTCCCCATGTGACATGTGATGAGAAAAGGCTGCGAGTCACGCGTGTCACGCGACGATGACGACGAAAATTACAAAGAACAGYATGGAGAACTAAAAATGAGTTACTCGCTCCCTACTAGGTCAACTAAGTCCTTCAAAACTGSCCAGTAGTTAACTCCTTTTCGTAGTATCTAACGTTTGAAATTAATGATTCTTTCAGAATAGGAATTATAGGTGGGCGCCAATGTTTACGTTTAAGCTAATTTGCATAAAAGTCAGAAATCGAATTTCAAGACACAAGAAAACMAAGCCCATAAATGAAAAGAACTCATACCTGTTAAAAATTCCTGCAAATTTGAAGGCAATTGGTTAAATATTTCAAGAGATATCAAGCGCCGAATTTGCAAGATTTTCTAAAGAAATGAYCKTGGTTGGCATTATTTTGCCAACCACTGAATGTTTTCTATAAATATTGTAGTTTTGAAATGCCGATATCTCGAAATGTATAAAGGCGTTTACCCTAAAATTTTCAGGTTTTCTTGACATTAATATAATCTTGAATTGTGTGACGTTCAGATTGCTTATTTTTTGAATTTTATATTTTGGATGCAAACAAACTACGTCATCGTACGCCCACCTATTGAACATCGAGTTCACACTGTAGCCTTGTTGTTTTGCGAGACTTGGCCTACCCAACAATTGAAAATAGAAATTATGCAAATTATGCGAAGGCAAAGATCAAACATGCACAGACATGACAAAAATTGAAATTATAGAACATTTACTCTTCGAACTTTATTGCCGTTTAGAAAGGTATCCATAGTATGAAAAAAAAACGGCATTTATAATTCTAAAAACATTACACCAAAAAAAACCCGTAAAATCTTACCACTTGGCGATGAATCAAGAAGCCTTAAATTGTGATTTTGTCCATTGATGCTTATGCTGTAGCTTGCTATACAACCGTTATCCCAGCATACTTTAACTGTTGCTTTATCTAAAGGTATCCCTTCCTCATATTCGCTTATAACACTTGTAATAGTGCCGACATGTCCTTCGCCGCCATCTTGATCATTCCAAGTCCAATCTGGACCACGAACGACTCGGCTGCCTAACAGCATCCTCAAATCATGAGACCACAGTGAAACAATGRAACATATCCATATACTACTTCATGAAACAATAAGCGATTCTATAATATTGAAAAACAAGGATAAATTCTTTGGGATTTTAGAAGACTTGGAAGGTTATCTACTTGGTAGGAGTACAGTGTATGTAATTCCCAGAATTTAACCTCTGTGAATATTGATGATACTCACCTATGTCACGTAAGTCTTTCTGTGCATGGCCGAGTCTGGTCATGCTTTTGTAGAACTGACAAGATTCGTGTCRCTCAAACGTATGTGACTGAAAACCAAGACATTCGTATGTGGGGAAGTTGCAATGCCGCAGAAAAATATTCTTCTATATTGCTATTGGAGCTCCGCTATTAGGTTAGCTTACTTCAGCAGAGAGTTTTGCCGCCTTGTTCAAYCACTTGTCAATGATTAACCAATCAAATAACGACAAAAATACTGTCATCCAATCACATCGTGTGTAGATTTTACCTTACACAATAATGGATTTTCTTCGTCAACACGACTTTTTGATTATTTCCAATGGTTTCAGTTGAATAAATTTCTTTGGTGAATCTTGATGTTAATAATATAATAATAATATAATCCTATTTATATAGCGCTTATCCAATTCTGTTCTAAGCGCTTTAAAACTACATGACAACTACAAAACACATGAGAGTCTTGGTAGACTGTGAGCTTGAGTTGGCGCCTCTGGCTGCCGCTGCACAGTCCGTCCCAAGATCTCAAACTAAAAATTAAAGTACAACAATCAGATTTGATTGATATTCTTTTTCTTTAGATGCTCTCATGATCACTGTGGTGACAACTAGTCAACCGTTATACTTCTCGGAATTACGGTCATACAGGAAAAATTGAAAGTACGTAGGCAAACAAATGAAAAATGGCGAAGAAAAAAAATATATTATATATTATAGAAGCTCAAGATTTTTGAGACTTATTTCCGTTAATAAAAATATCCTAATAAGAATTAGCATTCTTCAAAAGAATATAGGTATATTTTGTCTTGTGGTAATGATAATTCGAGCTTGCAGTCATGCTGATTCCAGACAATTGCACTAAAGACATTAAATTAATTATCGCCAATAAGTTGAACGACTCTTTTTAAAATATTTTAAGTTCAACAATTCTTTGAGCAAACTGCAGGTGTTTGATATATTSTTTGTTTTGGTGCTGTCGATGTTTCTGTGGTGACAATTATACAGCGTCCTTCTCGGAACTCCATCAAGACAGGAACAACAACCTTCAGAACCWCAATGGCAACATCTTCTAGCTTTACAGACGACTCGGAAGCAMAGTTAACTTGTGCTATTTGTAAAGGTATCTTTATCGACCCAAGGACACTACCGTGTGGGCATACTTTCTGCTTTAAATGCATCAAAGCATGGRACGAGACTTGCCAAAAAGAAAAGAAGACACTGACATGCCCAACTTGTCGAGCAGCAGTCAACATCGAAGGTGACATCTCGAAGCGTCCTTCTTCGTTTACCGCGGACCAAGTCAAAAAGAGCAAGAATGACGAAGAGAGCCAACAGCAGCAATTTATACCCTTGAAGATCATTGATGTTGAAGAGAGGATGTACAATCCTATTGCACTTGATGTAAGTGACAATGGCGATRTTGCTGTGGTTAATCATTCCCTTTATACAAATGATTTCCGTGTTGTGTTGTACAATGCTGATGGAAAGCATTTGCGAGACATTGGTGGTGCAGGATTACGAGATGGTCAGCTGAGTCATCCAACTGCAATAATCTTCAATGAGGACAAAGTAGTCATCACCGATTCGGGGTCTGAAGGTGAATATCTACATGCCAATAGTCTCCTTCACGGTTACCTGCGCCATCTTGAAAGGCAGCCGTGCCTTTACATCGAAGCGAGACAACCGTTGAGCGTGCAATGATGGATAGAAACCTGTGAATAATTGTCTGTAGGTGTGAAAGAAGGTTTCTATCATTGCACACTCAACGGTTGTCTCACTTCGAAGCAAAGGCACGGCTACCTTTCAAGATGGCGCAGGTAACCGTGAAGGAGACTATTACTTATATTTTACTGGTGTCTTATTTTCCACCATTATTCATTGTATATTTTTGCTATTATTCATTATTATTTTTTATTTTTTCATTATTCGTTGTTTTTTTTTTCATTATTCATTATTCCTTAGGAGTTGTATTGAGTTATTCATTATTCCCAGTCAATTTTAACCGTTATTCATTATTCAATATTTACTGTCAGACATCGACACCGATAATCAAGGTCATTGTGGCGGTATCAAGTTATTTGACATCGATGGTACCTACAAAAGAACTCTTAGCAAACTACCTAAAGGAATGATATTGAAAAGAATGTGTGCAGCCAATCAAACCATTACGTGTTTGTGTTCCAATACCAATACTGCAGAAACATTTATAAAGTCCTTTGATAAACACAGTTATGATCACCTTCATGACA